AGAGAGAGAGAGAGAGAGAGAGAGAGAGTCTCCAGCTGATTTATATCGGATGAAATTTATAGTGCACCAATTGAAAAAAGAAGAATAGGAGGACTTGTGGCACCTTAGAGACTAACAAATTTATTAGAGCATGCTAATAAACAAGTCCTCCTGTTCTTCTTTTTGCGGATACAGACTAACACGGCTGCTACTCTGAAACCTTTCAATTGAAAAAAAAATCAGTAGAGAAGAATTTGGCACCCCTCTCTGCATAATATTGATTATTAAGCAAGTTGTATTATTGATTCAACACAATCTGTTTGCTGTATATATTTTCTGATGGTACCCAAAAGGTTATGATTTTGGACTAAATTTTGCAATAAACATTTGAATTAAATCAATGGTTTTTTCCTCCTGGACTCATAAAAGTACAGCATGAATATATTTATAAAAGAGCCTGCCTCTTTTCCAACAAGTTTTAATTGCTAATCCAAAGCCTAGAAGTCAATGGGCGGCTTTTCCACTTACTTCAGTTTGCTTTAGCTTAGGCTCTAAATCGCTACAGAGGATTTTATAGGTCCTATCACTGTAGTATCTAACCCGCCCTGAGTACTAAGCATGCAGGCACTGGCTTGCTAAAGTAAATTTTGAAACTCCACATGTCTCTTTAATTTGTCTATGGCCTAACGTTCTACAAACAATGCAAACTCCGTTGTGCTTTGATGTGGTAAGTATCAGCACTTGTTGCAAAATTCTTTATTCTAAGGAACAAGATGAGCCCTTTGAACTAGAAGGCAGGAGCGAAAACTTGGGGACAGTTGTGAATGTGTCTGCTAAGGTTCCCTGCTGATGCTTCTTATAAACAACCTGATGCCAGGCATGCCTGGGAGAACAGGAGGAGACACTTGCTATTGTCGCTTATTTCTTAAGTGCGGATTCTGCCCTCCTCATTTGTGACATTGCAGTTATAATTTTGCCTTTGCTAAAGTTAATGGGCCCGATTCATCCTTCCACTGAATCAACAGGCTTATGTTAGAGACGCCTCCGCCGCTTTTTCTAGGGTTTAATTTGCTCCTCGTTTTGCCCAAGTCTGAGGTTGACATATGAGGTTTAATCAGGAAGCAAAATATTTTAAAAGTATTTATTTACCTGTTTTCAGATTGGCTGATTCCCTTGATATACAATGAAAATAGCTTAGTTAATAAATACATTAATCAAGTGATCAAGCAGTCCCCAGCAATAACCCCTTGCCCCTGTGGGAGGGACATTAAAATAAATACAGAGATATTGACCTTTAACGATCAGGTCTGGTTTTGGTTTTTTTAAATCAGTGCACTGTGATAAGGTTTTTTAACAAATGGTCAGAGCTGTCTAAGGACCAGCTCCTGTGTAGGGCACATCAGAGTGCTTGTGTGGAAGCAGATAGACACAAGAAACATTGGGGTCCCCAAAAAAAGATTTGACCCCAGGAAGAGCCTAGAGAAGGAAGTGTGCCATGTGCACCCAATTGTGAGACTGAAGGCTTGTCTACACTACTGCTTAAGCTGATGTACCTAAGCCACCCCCGAGCGACACAAGTTACATCGACCTACATGCTGTCCACACCGCACTGTCGGTGGGAGAGTCTCCAGCTGACATAGCTTCTCCCTCTCGCTGAGATGGAATAATTATGCCAATGGGAGAGCACTCTCCTGTACACGTAGCGCGTCTTCACCAGACACACTACAGCGGTGCAGCTGCATCGGGGCAGGTGCACTGATGTATCGTGGTAGTGTAGACTTGCCCTAAGACCAAAAGTTTTAACAGCAGCTTGGGGAAGGTTTTCTACCAGAAATCACACAAAAGGGCTTTGTTTTTGCCAGGGGTGGGGGGGAGACTTGAGGGTGTGTATTGTTTTATGCAGATCACAAGACAGCTATTCACTAGGTTAGGATTTTCAAAAGCATCTAAGGGGGATAGGCTCTTCTGGGGTTGTGAAATCCTATAGACTCTGGCAACTTGCTCCCTTAGGTGCCTTTGAAAACCCCAGTCTGTAAGATCTGAGCCCTTTTGTATTTTATTCTCCTTAGACTTAAATGAAGAGTTGCTCTAAGTTCCCCACTCCTTGTTCCTCCAGAATCTATAGTCATGTTATTGGTTTAATTTGGGCCCTGATCCTGCAAACTCTTATGAAAGTGCTTACCTTCGCACATATGAATAGTCCCATTGACTTCAACAGGGCTAGTCACAGGTACAGTTTTTCCCCCAGTCCCTTATTACAAGGGACAGCCCTTATTTTTTCATCTCTGTACAACAAGATGGGGAGTTGCTGAGTGCTGCAAAAAGCAGCAAGAAATACCTCTGCGAATGTAGGTGAGTCCTGCTTATTATCATTATTATTATTGGTGATTATGATAATATTGGGAGGATGGATGGGGCGGGGAGGCTGAGAAAACAGTCCTTTATTTTTGAAATACGATGTTGACAACCCTACTCACAGGCCAAAAGTAAAACTCATCTGTGTCTGCAGGATCAGGATCGTGGACTGTCAGCTGCTTGAGAGAGGGATCAATTGAAATTCCAGTCATTTGCACTGGCCCAGTTCCCCTGATTTCAATGGGGTTGTACCTGAGAACACAATATGGCCCCATCATGTTTTCCTATTTATTTATATAGAACCATGCAAACCAATATTACTATATAAACAACCAATAATCATGCACTTGCAATATGTTCCAACCAAAGGCATAAAGATACTTTAACTCTGGTGGAATTAATTATTATTTGAAGAGGTAATATTAATGTCTGTTTCTTAGTCATTAGAAAAGACCTTAAGACACAAATGATAAACAAATTAAGTAAAGTTGCACCTTGAATAAAGCTCAATATTACAGTCCTTCAGTATTCTTTCTCCATCCATCTCGTTGCTTAGATACAGTACTCAATCAATCCCTGCCGGATTCAGTAAGAAACAATAGAAATTTAAGATCATCTCAATCCATCACCACACTGACAGAGAGCCATTACACCCCAGGGCGCTATTACTCACTTTCAACAATATTCACATTTGCAAATGTCATGTATACAAGTTGTCACATTCTAATAGTCCTTGAGGTTGCCCCTGAGACCCAGTCCAGCAGACCGATTTAGTTCTTTGAAAGGCAATTTTACCTAAATTGCTGCCCAGTTCGCTACATTTTATCCAGCAAAATTTAACATAACATAGGATGCCCAACATCTTTTTTTTTTTTTTTTTTTTAAGATTACAATAAGGCCTGCTATTATCTGTTCGCAAACCTTCTATCTCAGACTACATCGAGGGAGAAAACATTTGCTGAGACCAATGGTTATGGAATCACCATATTTTTAAAAGTCATTATTACTGAAGTCAGCTCAGACCTAGAGACCTGATTCTCAATGGCCCAGAAGGTCATTTGATGTTGCTGGAGCAAAGGTGACCAAGTGACTTTAAAGCTGCCCTAAAGAGGCATGCCATGGTGTAAGGAGTTCTTATAGGCAGTTTTACACTGCCTGCTTCCGCCACTCAGCACTGGGGAGCTTGTTGGGGCCATCTAGAAGACACAGGAAAAGGATGCTCTTCTGAGACGGGAAGAGGGGTGATAGGGACTTGAGGAGGCAGAACTGGAACATGATATGTTTCACTGACCCTCACCCAGGGGATGATTCTTAGGGGAGTTGTTCTTGCCAGAGTAACTTAGAGCAGCCCTGGACATGGAGCCTTCAGAATCGGATAGTCTTTGCAAGGAATTTTTTCATGTGGAATACATTTGGTATGGGAAAAGTAATGTATTTTATAAATGGCTTCATGACTGGACTTTTGATTGGCCTAAAGCAGTGATTACATATCTTCAGCACGCACATATACACAGTGTTGTGGGTTTACGCTCCTCTTCAGTGTGCTGTTAGTGGCTTTTATTGTGCAAAATCATTATTTTTTGTACTCCACATTTAGTGATAAACAGAGAGTTTTAAAAATAAACTGAGTAAAATTCATCCCTGGTGCAACCTCACTGACTGGAATGGGGTTGCATCAGGGATATATTTGGCCCACTATATTTAAGTCATACTGAACTATAGAATACTTTGAAAAAATCGTTATTTGTTTTGTGATACTCCCCCGTCAGGGCTGAAGGCCCCTTTGTGCTAGGTGCTGTACACAGGTATAATGAAAAAAAGATCTCTACCCCAGGAGTTGCAGTCTACATGGAGAGACAACAGGTGAAGACAAAAGTAGGGTGGCATAAGCCACTGGCTGAAGGCAGAGAAGATAAAAGTCAGTTCATATGTTGATTTGTTTTATACAGTGAACAGGCTAAACCAAGAAGCTTTCTGGGTCTCTGGGAACTGCTAGTTTAAGGTCAAAACTCTCCTCTCAGCTCCGTGCAGTGATTCTTGAATCTCTTCTCTGAAGTTCTGCTCCCTGTCCAGACACAGAACTCCGGTCAATGTCAATGGTGTGTGGGGGTGTGAGAGAGAACGCTTCCAGGGTGACTCGTGGCACCACAGTCCAACACCTTTGCTACCTCCCTACCAAACCATCTCCTCACAGGCTGGAACGAGTCATTATAAAGCCACTCTGCATGGGAATTCCCACTGAAGTTAATGGGACATCAGCCCAAGCCAGCTGCAGAATCACAACCTTTGTGTTCAGATTGGGCTCAATTCTGTTTACACTGGTGTGTGATCAGAGTTGGGCCCACTGGGAATGAAAAATAAGTCCACTGAAACAAAGAGTCACATCTGCATAGAACCATTGTAAGTGAGATCAATGTCAGGCAGGTGGAATCAACAGGAGCTTTTGCTACTGACTGCAAAGAGAATGGGATTGGGCCTGTTGCCTATTACAGGTGCATGAGGGGCATGAAGGGTGGGTCCTGAAATAGCTAGTGTGAAGTTATGCTCTTTGCAAAGAAATTTGGAGGATGACTGCTCATTTGCACAGGAATAC